CAGGAATGCTGGTCATCCTTTCTACCAAATACCCTGGCCAGTAAAACGCATAGTCAGAAACCTTCTCACTTTCTTTTTTCTAACTGCAACATGAACACTATGACTCATATGTACCAGTAAAGGTGAAAGCATCCCCCAGGTGTAGATTACCCAACCATGTACAAGCAGACAATTTCTTGCAGGTGGGACATGTTCATTTGATTCTGATAATTCTAGATCTTCCCATAAGTGCTAATATGTGACTTCAGTAATGAGACAACCAAAAGTTACTTACTGAAAGGCTCATTTCCTCATAAAGCAAATAACGATATATTACATATGCTATAAAACAAAAGAGCAAAAGGCTAATGATGTAGAATCAGAATAGCACTAAAATTGTTTTGAGTTTCTGAGCCTTCACAGACCACACTTGCTTTCCTGTATTTCAGATTAAACCCACAATGAAATCAGACTATATCCAATGTCACTACAGTGCCTGTAGAAGTGGAAAGTCCCTTTTCTTAGAAGTATAGAATTCAGAAGACCAATCACCACGAAGTAACAATACAGAAGCCAGCCATTACTCATATATGCGAAGTGTAGAACTTACCTTCTACTCTAAGAGCACAGCAAGGACAAAATTTAACAGCAGTTGTTCCCCCTGTCCTCCCCAGTTGAACTGCTGAAGCATCACTGTGTCACCAAAAGTGCAAGATGACACAGCTGAAATAACTCAGCAACATCAAGAGGGATGCATTCCAGAGGAGATACACATCAGATACACCTTCCCACGTTACAACAGAAAGGTCAGAGGGATGGGAACCAAAGTGTCTGAAGCTTTGCTCTGGACTGCTGAAGTGATTTTCAGCTTTTCTGCAGCGAAACAACTGTCTCACACCAAAACACTTAGAAGTCCAAAATAAATGTTTCAGTAAGTATAGGACTGATTTTAGGGGAATTCTAGTCACACATTTTCTTAATCAGAAGAAAAAAATAAAAAGTTGCATCTCAGTCAAATAACAACCTTGAAAAGTGTTTTTCCAGATTGTCTGCTTCTCTCTTGTCTCCAAATTATGACGTTTTTCTCAGACATTTATTCACTACTTCCATGTATTGCACTATAACACAATAAAGTAGTTATAATGTACTGTAAAACATGCACCTTTACTATAAATAATGCAGGTAAAAATGGAAGAAGCTGTAGAGGGCTGCCCTTCCACAAAACAGTGACTATATTTTATGCCAAGAAGTCATGTTAGCTGACTTTCACAAACTGTCTTAATAAATGCCTTTTGTTAACTGGTAACTGCTGAAATCCAGGCAGAACAAGCAAGGCAGAAAATGATAAGCCCAAGACTCAAACAGATTTCAGAATTCTCAAATTCTCTGGTAACTTTGTTCTAGAATGGGTAAGGCAGGATAATAGCCATTTTACACTGTTTCTGCTTTAATGGCCATTATTCTAGAAAGACTGTAAACTAACGTAACTTCTGCCTTTCCCCTTGCAACAGAAAAGGCAAAACTGCAATTACAAAACTATTTCTATTCCCATCCCCCTACTTCAGTAATCAACAGACATGACCAAGACCTCAGGAATGAAGACACATAAAATATACAGGAGATTTTGCTTTACTGACCCCAATATAATCAATGTCCAAGTCATGATACTGCTTAGCTCCTAATATCCAAGAAACAATATAGTAAGCTGTGACATCTGGATAGTCATAGGGCCAGTTTTCACCCTTCCCTATCCATGCCGGAAATGTCCAAGGTAATCCTGGAAAGAGAGAAGCAAAACAGATTAATAAAATAAGTGGTTGGTCTACATTACTGGGTAAGCATCAATAGGAGGCTGTAACTTGTTCTACCTAAAATGAAGGAGCAGATACGCACTCCAAATTCACATAGTTCCAGTGAAGACAATGAAACATAGCTTATTTAACTGGAAAGTATGGTCTAACACAAATTCTGATCAACATATTAATACCTGCTTTTTTCTTTAAGGTAAAAAATGTTCATTACTAGACAACTGACTACACACAGGCTGTCAGTTGTGTGGTATTATCTCTAATAGGTTTAAAATTCCAAAGATTTTAGCATAAAAATTTGCTAAGTCACAGACAAAGGACCAATACTGAAGACCAAAAATTGTTAATCTCCTGGATATGAATTTCAGAAGTAGTCATGATCTGATCATAATAGAGGAAGAAAGATTAGGATCACGAAAAAGCATTTCCAAGTCTCAGGTGTTTACTGGATCTCATAGTAAATAAGAGCAAATTAACCAGATCCTGCTAAGTTTTCAGCACGACTTTGTGTAAGACACCACAGGCTAATTCAAAGGCAAACCCTCCTTCCTTTTTTGAGAGCTTGACCTGAGGGCAGAGGGAGGTTATCAATAAACACAATTAGTCATAGATGGCAAGCCTACTGCTTATCACAGCGCCTGTGGAACTGAACCTGACTGGCAAATCCTGCACCAAGTCATGCCTTGTGGCTGGATATGGCAAAGCCCGATCCCTTGAAGAGAAGGAATTGCATACTTTTTAAATTATAGATTTCTTCCCTTGTTTCATGAAAAATACATTTTTTAAAGTGTTTCAATTAAAATCTAGGGTTCCACATTTGTGCTGTTACAGCACACACACAACGCACAATCTGAACAGGGAGACAGGAAAGTCCTCTAACAACTGAACTACATATGTAAGACAAATGAGAAGACAAGAACCACTACAGTGGGGAGGGAGTGATGGGCTTGTAATAAGAACATATAATAGAATTTAGTGTGTATAACATTTACAGATTTATACCTCATGTAAGGTTACTTTATCTCTCCTGAGTTTTTTACTCTATTATTCAGAAATTCAGCTCCCATGAGAAATCATTTCTGTTCATTGTTGTGATACAGTCTTAGCATTAATGTTACTTGACATAAGCAAATTATTAGAAGGTCATTTCTTATCTATGCTAGTCGTCACATACATTCTTGTTATGCTACTTGTTACAGTAGCACAACATTCTTATATTGTGCTACTGTAACAAAATGAAACACAGTAAGCTTAAATGAAGCATCAAGGCAAGCTCACCAAATAGCAGAGATTCTACTTTGTCTACTGCAACATCAAATCATCTGCCCATTAAAATCAACATGTTAATTAAGTGTCAGATACGTAATTTAGTTGGGGGGGAAAAAAAAAAGCATTTAAATGCTACAGCGTGAAGGAATTTACCAATCAGCTTAATTTGGGGGTTCCTCTTTTTAGCTTCTTTCATCAGCCACCATTCATAGCCGCGGAAGTAGTTCTCATCATTTTCATAGTGCATATGGGAGGGTTCAGTACCATCTAGCAAGGAAAGAGACAGGTAGCTCACAATTATCTTCTGTGTCACAAGCTGTTACACATTATAAAATTTTTTGCATTGCTCACTGCCATAGTATGCAAGCACATATCTCCAACATGGTTCACACGTTCTTTGGTATGTATTTCAAAGGAAAATGAGTAGTGGGAGGGAACACACAAGACTTGCCACCCTTCATACTTAGCATATTAACTTAGCACAAATTTAATTTTTTTTTATTTTTAAGGGACCATGCCTGCTTTTAACATCAGAATGTGATTAGCTATTAGGCATTTTCTGTCCCTGGTTATGATAATACTAAATTTATATTCATTATTATCTTGGTTTCAACAACCACTAGGAAAGTTACAGCATTAAGATCAGGAGAAAAAAAAAAAAAAAAACAAAAAAAAAAACAAAAAAAAAACCACCACTTGTAGAAGCAGGTTATAGCCAAACCAAAAAGCAAACAGAAGAAGGTTATAGTTTGTTTCTTCCGTGAACGACAAGTCCAGGAAGGGAAAAGAAAGGAAGTGCCATGAAGATTTTCCAGTGGTTTTTCATGGTTTTCCATGGTGTTCTATGATTGCAGGAAGAGTTTTTGGGATTGAAGGCTATGCACTGAATTCCCTCAGGCAAAGGTAAACAAACCAGAGAAGCACAAAAGGATCACTGGTCTATGGGATGTCATTACACACAAAAGTCAATCAACAACTTGTGTACACAAATGCAACAATTACTTACGCTAAACTATATCCCTAATTGTTACAGAGATCTCTTCTGATTACTTTTTTTTTTTTAATGAAGCCTGTTGAAACAGCACATTTCACTACAGAAAACAGAATTTTTTTTTAATTTTTTTTTTTTACTTAACGCTTGACTGTTTGGAAGTTCTACTTGTCAGATACATAAAACAATTAGATTCCAAACTTAGACTCCTGATCACACTTCTGAGGTCAGAATAAGAGCTACAGATCAGTGTGTTAAGACATACACATCTTATTGTTCTCCTGAAATCTGGAAAGCCATCACACAAGTATGTAACATTCTCCTTAGCCAGCAGGAAGAGTTGCGTTTGAAGAGAAGGTCTGTGCACACATGAAGATGATTCCATTCTCCTCTAACCAGCAATTTATTGACAAAATACCAAGCTTTTAAACCAAGCATAATACTTTCCACCATGTTAATTTTTCTTAAGTAAACAAAAGAAATGAAAAACAACATCTAATTGCAAAAACACAGGCATTTAAGCATATGGGTATATAAAATGCCACAAAGATATGTGACATTTTCTATTTATTGGCTGAGACTGTTTTAAGTCAACTCTTGACCAAAATTTACTTCTGTCAAAAAAAAAAAAAGATATGAACTGTAGTCTAGTTACTGCTTCTCAGCTTCCAATCACAAGCAGTTACTAAACAGTTTCTCCTAATATAAGTACAGCAGGCTAGGCAAACTCCACCAAGACATTTTCATTTGTAATTGTGGCCAGGCAAGAAAAATACCGCCTACTCTCAGACAGAGCCACTCCAGTGAAACGTAGCAGCTCATTAAATCAACGAAACATAATTGCTTCGGGCCAGCTGCCTTCACATTTTCATGCTTTTAAGACATAAACTACCTATTCCTACACAAGTTTTACAGAGTTTGTATTGTAAAACCGGTGTTTGAGGAATGTTCTGCAATTCAGGAAGCTACTAAAGCATCCTTAAGCTTGGGGAGGGGCGGTAAGAACTCATTTCCTCTAGAATGCAACCTACTAAACATAATATAGTGAGAACGATCTCCAGAATATTAGTGTACATTTCTCTTCTACAAGTTAGCAGACACTGTTTATATTTTTCTGAAACTTAAGTAGTACAGAATGCATCTCCATGCTTCAGCTAAAGTGACATGTAGAGGTCGTGTTACTTACCTGTTGACTGTCCATCACCTCCAATCTCTACTTTGAGGATATGTAAAGAAGCACCAAAATTTGGCTAGAAAAAAGAGACAGAAAAACAAACAGAATCCTGCTGTTAACAAGAAGAATGCAATAAATAAGTGTATCATTTTGAGGATGCTAAAAATTCAATAATTTTTTTAAACACCCATTATAGATGCAATGAGAGATTATGCAAAATTCTGCTTCAAAAGGAAATCAAGCAAGATAAACAGTACACTTATCTTTAGTCAGTTTCACTGAGTCTTGCACTGTTAAGACACTTCTCCCCAGCTGTACAGATTTAAAATTGGTTATGCTTAAGTGCTCTTAAAGTAGAATATGGGCTATACGAGAAACACAACAGTCTTTTCAATGTTATTAGAAGTCAGGTTGGCTTTCTTCTAAAATCAAAATATCAAAGTTAATATTTAAGTAGATAATTTACTCTTTGGTGTAAAGAGTTACACTGCTTATATGAAAGAGCCTACATACAGGTCAGAAATAACCTGCTAAGTACAGGAAGAAAGGCAAGAAAGAAAAAACCACCACACCAGAAAACAAATGGCCACCTAGTCCACTATCCTCTTCCCCTGGCATCTGACTAGTAGAGCAGAATATAAAATTCAAGCTCATACAGGTGCTCCTACTCCCAGTATATTCCTCCAGCCATTAGTGGCTTAAGAGTTGCTCAAGACAGAAGTTACAACTAATCATTATTTTAATAACCACTAATGAGCTGTCCTCCTCCACGGAATTACTCAAGTATAATTTTGGCATCCAAAAAAATGTTTGAAGATGTGAGAATGCAATCTGATTTAAAAAAACAGAAAATAGTTTGCTTGGCTTACAAGTTCTGTATTTTTTTTATTTGTTTTTAAACAAGAAACAAATATTCCCAATTTACCATATCTCTTCCTGACATTTCTGATTTTAAATTTCTAACACATTTGCTCTCCCATCCCTGTCATGAAAGCTGACTGATACTAAAGGACAAGGAGAACAAGGTGAGGTACACCCCTCCTAGGTATCTCATGATAGTTTAAGAGGTTTTGGTGAATGAACATGTCAAAAATCCTTTCAAAATCATCATCTCTCAGATACGTTTTCTTTCACTACATGCCTATTGACTCCTTCAGGAAGATTATATCTGTAACACACAACTTTGGTCTCCAAAAAAACGTGCCTTTTGATCCCCCAGTCACACATTATGTCTTACTCTACCCTTTAAAACCAAATCTTTAAACAAGACAGCAAATTATTCCCCTCCAGCCATCTGGATTACGCTACCTGAAAGTGACATGACATCTTCATCCAGTAGAGTAATTTACAGTGCCAAGAGCAAAACAAGTTACTACTGTCCAGTGCAATGATCTTACCATACATTAAGTTGGGTAACTCCACAGGTTACACTTGCTAACTAAAGCAGCTTACAAACCAATAACATTTACACACCATCTAAAGTAGCTCCACTTATACTTGAGACTAGTTTGGAAGAGATACCCATTGAAATAATGCAGTCCGTGCAGTCATCTCCACATTATGTGAATCTATCTGTACTCCAAAAAAAAATCAAAACTGTCTCAAAGATTCAATTCCTGCAATCACTATGAAGAGCTAAACCCCTCATTTTAGCCAAAAAAACAATTTAATCTTCATTAAGCCCACATGTATGATCTAAAGATAATGAAAACATATTTTTGAACACACATTGTAAAAATATTAAAGGAATTTTAACAATAATTTGAAGAAACAGGCTCCTGAACAACATGCTGGTTGTCAAAAACAACAGCTAAAATTTAAGGTTCTGATAAAAACCAACATTAAAGTAGATGCTTTACAAGATGGTAGTTTGTATAACTTCAAATAGTGATGAATATACTACAGGAGTTCCAACATTACACAATAAGAAATTCTGCATGAAACTAGACATTATTATAGCAGTGAAACTGACATTACCGTGAACAGATAATCTAAAATCTGGGAGCGATATGGTTCTTGGTAGTTCACCAGGAGTCTAGATGTAGCCTAAAATGGAAAGAAAACATGAAAAACTAACTTTCAAACATAGAAGTATATGCCAGTTTGTCAATCTAGGACTTTCACACAGCTAACAAACCTACAGAACTAACTGTAGCAGCACGAACTTAGCGAAGCCACTACAAAAACTCTTTTCTAACGCTTCATTTGTGCGTTTCTGGTTTCGTAGGCTGCAACTGCCTTGTACTCCAGTTACCTGCAGTTTACTGCAAAGAGTCCAGATCAGAGAAACAAAGAGATCTCGCAGACATTGCAAGCAAAACGCAGCTCCCTCCCAGCACCATTTCTCCTACTCTACTCGAATCTCCCTGCCTTGGCTCACCACATGCCCAAGGCAACGGGAGCTCCTGGGGCACGCAGGCAGGAGGGCAAGGAAAGCAACTCAGCAGCTCCAAAAGTGGGCACAAACCCGCTGAATCTCACAGCTCTGCTCGCTGGAGCACAACAGAACGTACACCTGGCTGTTGGCTTTTCAAGCCTTTTAAAGCTCAGAGACAAGTGGCAAGGAAGAACCTCTGCTTAAAAAACCCGCCCTGGCTTAGCTCTCCTCCAGCAGCACCGAGGACATGTTCGTCCCCCAGCACCCCGAGCAGCCTGAAGAG